TGGCTCCCCGGAGCGCCGGGCGCGTCCGCGGCCCCTCGCTCTGCCGCCGTCCCGCGTTACGTTTCTCCTTTCTCTCTCTCTCTCTCTCTCTCGCCTTCTAATTCCAATTCGTTTCTTTACCTTTGTCTTCCTCATTTAAATCCCTCCCCGTCATCTCTCCTGTCCCAGTATCTCTTTAGTTTCTCTTTATTTCTGTTTCACCTCCGCCTCTACTTCTTCCCCGCGTGCTCTTTCCACTCAGTTTCATCACTCCTCGTTTTTCTTTTAGTCTGTCCTCTTTCTTTTATTTCTGTATGTCTTTCTGTTATTCATGATTTTCGATTTTTAAAAAAATAAAAACTGAAGTCTTTTCCTTTCTTTTTTGACTTGATTTTTTGTCTTAAAACTTTCCTTCATTTTCTCACTTCTCTTTCGTTCTTGCTCTATTTCTTTTTCGTCTTTCTTTTCTCTTTCCTTCCTTCTTTTCAGATTTTCTGTGTTTTCTCTCCTTTTCTAATTTTTTCTCCTGGCTGCCCTCACCGCTTTCTTTTTCTCCTTTCCCCGTGTTCCCTGACTCTCTTGCACTCTGTTCTCTTACCAACTTTCCTCCCACCTCTCCAAGCTCATGGCCACCTCTGCTCTCCTTCCCGGCCTCCACTCGCCCTCTTCTGGGACTGTGTCTAGCTGTGTGCCCATCTCCAAAGCTGGGCCCCCAGGCTGGTGGGTGGATAGGCTTTGGGCAGGATACCCGCCCTTCCTCTCTGCCCGAGTGGCAGGCAGCAGCCTGGAGCCCACCACACCGGGAACTCCCTGTACCTACTCTGCACCCAGGGCACTATAGCAGCCGAAGCAGGGGTTGGCAGGCAGGCCAGTGTAGACGCGACAAGGAGGCTCACCTTCCATGTCCCTGGTGACGGTGCTGAAGTGCATCCCGGCCGGGGATCCTGGCAGCCAGTGAAGCTTTACCCGGTGATCGGAGGACCAGGGGCCCCCGTGGGCGGCACCCTCTGCAGCCTCAGCTGCAACCAGAGAGGCGATGCTGAACGCACTGGCCCGGGGAGATAGTGGGCTCCGCGCGTCCATAGGCGCCGGGCGGCCTGGCCGGCGCCGCCTCTGACTGCGTGCGCCCAGCCGCACCGCGCCCAGCCCAGCCCACGGGGCCGGGGGCGGGGGCCTGCAGTGCCACTCACAGCCGCCAGCCCCAGGCCCAAGGGATTATGGCGTCACAGACCCCCCACTTGAGGCCAGTAGCTGCGAGGGGCCCAGACGGGTGGAGCACCCTGGAAGTGCGGGACCCCCTGCTTTTCAAGCTCCCTGACCCTCGCCTTGCTCCCAGGGACCTCTGTGACCAACGCCCCTTGAACATCCCGCTGCTTCTTCTGAGACCGGCCTCCCTCTGCACAGTGAAGCCACCTTCAGCTTCTACAGCCCCAGAGGAGAGGTGACTATGCTGGGAGCACCCAGCCCCAGCCCGAAGTGGCAGGGCACCAATGCAGCACGGAGGGGCTGCCTGGGCCCAGCCCTGCCCCTGTCCTTGGCCCCTCCTGCCTCCACCTCCTCCCCAGCTGCCCCTGCACCTGGGTGAGGAGAGGGAAGCTGGGCTCCCACGCTGGCCCCAGGCAGATAGCCCTAGGGCTGCGGTGTCCTCCGTTCCTCGATGCAGTAGGACAGGACACAGACCAGCAAATGTTGCACAGCCCCCTTAGGTTGGCTCGCTGTCGTGGCAGGGGACCTGAGTCGAAGGACACCGCCCAGGCCGCGCAGCCTGGGAGCCCGAGCGTCACGCGCA